TTTATTTTTTTTTTTTATTATAAAATTTTATAGGGTTCTTTTATCAGCACAAAGGTTTAATTTACCAACAGAATTTATAATCAAAATCGAAAAAAATATTTTAGGTTTCAAACAATTTAATTACGAAATTGCATTAAACTATTTGTCAGAGTGGATCCAATATGACCCAATTTTTGAAAGAAATGACAGAATTTATGAAAATATAAATATTTTATTAAATAATGGTGTCAAAATTCCATATATCTCCCCACCAACCCCAAACATTAAATATTTATATAAAAGTAAAGAAATAATAAATAATAATAATAATAATAATAATAATAATAATAATAATAATAATAATAATATAAATAATAATATAAATAATAGTAATAATATAAATAATAATAATAATAATTTTGATGGTGATAATTTATCATCTTCTTCTCTATCCTCTAGCTCAAAATCATCCCCTAACCATTTCTCTAATATCGAATTAATATATAGCAGCCCTTTAGATTCACCAAATTTAGAAAACTCTGATTAAAAGTGAATTTGTAAAATAAAATTGGATTTATTATAAAAACTAAAATTTTAAAAAAAAATTAAATAAAAAAAAATTTTAAAAACACACCACACCCCCATTATTTTTTTTATTTTTTTATTTTTTTATTTTTTTAAAACTGGGGTGAGTTTTTTTTTTTTTTTATTTTGTTCAATTTTTTTAACCCATATAATAAAAGTTTATTATTATTTTCACACATTTTATTAATGTATGTTATAAAAAAAAAAAAAAACAAAAAAAATAATTGTAAGATTTTAAACTTTTTTAATATCTGTTATTTAAAATAATATATTAATTTAATTTTATTTTATATTTATTATTATTATTTTGTTATTTTATATATACACATAAACTTATGTTATAATTATATATATAATACATTAATAAAATTTTTTCCATAATTAAAAATCATATTATTATTTTTTAATTATATATAAAAATCACTTTATTTACACATAATAGAAAAAAATGAAAAATAAATTAGATAATAAAAAAACTAAAGTTAATAAAAGTATAATACACCAAAATGTTAATATAAATAAATATAATCTAAATATAAACAATAATAATACGAAAAATCAAAACTTTAATCTAAACAATAATATTATCAATAATAATACTAATGATAATAATTATAATAATAATAAAAATAATATAATCATTAATAACAATAATAGTGGTTTTAGCCATAAAGATATTATAATTGATAAAAACAATTACAATATTAAAATCAATGTCAATAATAATAAAAATATTGTTAATAATATAACATCAAATTATAATGCCATATTTATAAACGAAATAAAAGAAATCAATAATGAAGATGGAGTTGCAATTAGAAAAACCAACATTATAGACAACAGTGTTTGAAGGTTTTCGAGGAGGAACAAGAAGAAAATGAATTGCTTTTAAGAAACCAAATATATAAGAACAGATATGAATTAAAAAAGGTAGGTTTAAACGGTGCAGATAAAAAACCAACAAGTACCTCAATTTTCTCAAAAGAATTTCTTGAACTTAAAATCCCAAAAAAGAAAATTGATGAAAATCAATTATCTTTAGATCAAGCTCAAAAAGAAAAACAAATTGTTGATGAAGAATACGAAGAAGGTGAAATTGTTGATAGTGATGATAAAACTACAAATGTAAATAATAAAAACAACAATAATGAAAATAATAATTACAATACCAATATTAATAACAACAATTTTTATAATTTTTATAACCCTAATAATAACCAAAGTATTAAAAGCAGTATAGAAGAAAATAACATTCATTTAGAAAGTGGTTTTTATAATGTAAAGAATCCAAAATTTATTAACTATTTATTAACATATCCCGAAATATTAAATTATTGTTTTAAACTAATTCAAACTTTTAACTACCCAATCGAATATATATTAAACTCTTTAAATATTCAAAATTATCAAAGTCTCTTGTTTATAATTAATAAATTTAGGGAAATAAACAATAACAATAACAATTCTAATATTGATAATTCTAGGTTATTTATTGACTCTTCATCATCGTCTTCTTTTTCCATTAGAAAAAATAAAAAGATATCTTCAAGTGTTTTATCAAGTTTGTCCCCATCAAACAATGTGGCTCTCTGTAAAATACAAAATGGTCATTTTAATAAGTAATAAAATAATAATTATTAAAATATAAAAATAAAACTATAATAAAATAAAAATAAAAATAAATAAAATAAACTATAAAACACATAAAATTTTTTTTATATACATTTCTTTATTTTTATTTCTTTATACACATATAAATAATATTATAAATTATTTATTTTCTTTTGGTTTAAAATACTTTACTTTTTTAATATTTGAATAACATTGTGGACAACCTTTGATATTAAAAGAGCAATTACTGCAAATTACTCGGTGACCACAACTTAAAACACAATCTATTGAATAAATATTGCACAAATTACACATTTTTTTACTAAATTTTTCGGAATTTGGCTTTATTTTCCCATAACTGATGCTACCTGCATCCTGTGCCAATGTTGTAATTGATGAATTTGAGACTGTAGGAGCTGTAGTAGTGGTATTGGTTGTAGTGGTTGTAGTGGTTGTAGTGGTAGTAGTGGTTGCAAATGGTAATTGTAAAATATTACTATTATTATTATTATTATTATTATTAATATTATTACCATCAATATTATTTTTTGATTTTTGTTTATTTTGTTTTTGTTGTTTTTTAAATTCTTTTCTTTTTAATTCGTAATTTAAAAAATTTTGAGAAAATAAAAATTCCATATATTCGTAAAACTTTTTTTTGGTTTCACCACGTAATTGACAACTACTATTATATAATTGAGGTACTGGTTCTATATAGATTTTTTTTGGTTTATATGAGCCAATTGTATAATGACCAATTAAATTTCTTGATAATACCGAATTCTTGAAAGGTAGTTTAACACCATTTACTGGTGCATCAACATAGATCTTCTTATAGAAAATAATGACTTCATCTTTATTGAATTCAATTTCTTCATTAAAAAATAACCCTATATTACAAATATGATTATATCCTTCATCAATGGTTGTGCGGCAATTCTCACAAATTCTATTGGAACAGTATCGCTCCCTTGTATCGGTGTTGAAGTTATGGAATAAACGGTCAATGACTTCTGTTATACGGGTGATATTATAATTTGGATCGTTTAATCTATATATCCTTTTTTTTTCGTTGGGAATACTTTTTTTTTTATCAAATGCTGATATATTGAAATTTGGGTTTGTTCTAGGTCCAAACTCTTCATCGCTATCTTCAAATCCTGGAAAACCATAATAGACTGTTTTGTTATAGTCGATTATTCTCTTTCTCTTTCTCTTTTTTTTTGGATCATTTGGGTCATATTCAAATAAAAAATAATCATTTAAAAATTCCAATGTCCCATTTAAATCACCATTTAAACTATGATCATATTGAAAAGTATTATCTAAAATAAATTTGTCACGTACCAACACTATTTCTTTAATATACTCTTCATTGAGTTCCCATTCTTTTTGTCTTCTTTCTCTTTCTTTTCTTTGCTTTTCTCTGATTTCTCTTTCTTCTCTCTCTTCTTCTCTTCTTGCCATTTCCAATCTATTATTTCTAAGCCTTAATATTTCTTTCTTTTCGTCATCTCTTCTCTTCTTATCGTTTTTGGCCTCTTCTTTGGTCTTTATAGTTCTTGTGAATCTAATTCTAAACTTTGTATCTTTTTCTAGTTGAAACCATTCATTTAAATATCTAAATACATCAATGTTGCCACACTTTCTTGCTATATACGATGCAGTTCTTCCTTTAGAGTCCCTTAACTTTAGTGTTGCTCCATTCTTTAATAATAATCGAAGAGCATGGATATTATCACTTCTAATTGACCACATTAATGGTGTTGCTGAATTTGAATCGCAAAAATCTGGCTCGATTGGTATATTTCTTTTATACAATTTATAATTTGCTGGTAATAAATCAGATGGTAACCTTTTTTCTAAAATAAAAAAATTAATATACTAAAGATTCCTTTTTTTCCTTTTTTTTTTTCAAGTTGGAATTATTTTTATTTATACATACTTATTTTACTTTTTTTATCATAATATTTAGATTCGAAAAGTATCGTGATGAATAGTTGTTTTAACAAAATCTGCAAGTGTTTCAATCTTTTTATTCTTGAAACAAAACAAAGCATATTCACCAAAGAAGAATTCTACAAAGTTGTCATATTTTCTTTGAATTGCCAAAATTAAGGGTGTATAATAATTTATTGATAAAGTATTTGGATTTGCACTAAAATTTAATAATTCTGAACCTATTTCTAAATTATTATTAATTACTGAATGATGCAAAGCTGTAAGTCCCTCTTTATCCATTTTGTTTTGATCTACAAAAATCTTTAATAAATCCTTAACCACAGCAGTATTATTTAAATGTGATGCAAAATTGAGAAGTGTTTGGCCCTTTTCATTTCTAATATCGCTGAGTATTTTATTGTTTTTTTCTATTAATAATTTTGAAAAATCTAAATTATTATCCATCTCAACTCTTTTGAATGCATCTTTTTTAAAACCAATTCTTAAAAGTGATTTAAACCAACCAATCTTTTGATTATTTTCATCTTCCTCATTATTTTGTGAATCACTTTCCACATTATTATTTTCATTATTATTATTATTTTCATTATTATTTTCATTATTATTATTTTCATTATCATTATCATTATTGTTATTATTATTGTTATTATTAATACTATTATAAATGGTATTTTTAATACTATTATTAATGGTATTATTAATACTATTATTAATGGTATTATTAATGGTATTATTACTATTATAATTGCTGCTATAATTTCTGGTACTATTATTACTATTATAATTGCTGTTATTATTATTACTATTATAATTGCTGTTACTATTATTAATACTCTTATCGATTCTGATTTTATAAGAAGGTCTATCATTTTCATCTACACCTTCATTCTCCTCTATTATATATTGACTGTTTCTATTTAAAAAACTCTTTAACTCTCTAAGACTTTTCAAATTACTTAGAGTTTGGTTTGTTGAATCGTCGATATTAACAACCTCTATTCTTAAATGGACTTGAACCATTTCTTCTTTCATTTTTTATTAATTTTTTTTATTTTTAGAATAAAAAATTTAAAATTTTTAAACAAAAAAAAAAAAAAAAATTTTACCAAAAAAAAAAAAAAAAAAAAAAAAAAAATTTTTTTTTTCCTTTTAAGAATTTAAAACATTTAAATTTAGGGGGGGTTTTTATTGGAAAAAAAAAAAAAAAAGTTTTAACAAAAAAATTTTTAAAAAACTAAAAAAAATTTTTTTTAAAAAATTTGAAAAAAAAAAAAAAAAAAAAGATTCCATTAATTTTTTAAAAAAAAGAAAAAAAAAAAAAACACTTATTGCTTGACCAATAAAAACAAATTATAAAATCAAAAATATACCTGCATCCTAGGATATGTGGATTTGGGGCTATATTTTTTAACCTTTGTAGTTTTATTATAATGGTTTTTTATTTTGATTGATGATATTATGTGAAAATAGTCAACAATAACAAAAAAAAAAAGATATTTTAAAAATTTGGGGCAAAGATATAAAAAAAAAACATTTTTTTTTGATGATTATTTTTTTTTTTTTTTTCGTAATAAGAGATAAAAAAATTAAAAATAAAATAATCATTACACTTTTAGATTAACAAATATAATATTATTTATTTTATTTTACAATTTTTGTAGAAATTCAAGTAATTTTTTTTTTATAAAATAAATTTTATTATCTCTTTGAGATTTGTGTATATTGTTAGAGGAAAAAAAAAAAATATTTAAGTTTTGTGAACGAATAAGTATTTAAAATTTTTTTCACAGAGCAAAAAAAAAATTTTGAAAAAAAAAGATTTAAATTTTTTGATTGGTGAGGAAAAATAACCTTTTTTTTTTTTTTTTTTTTGCCATATGACAACAACACATCGTGTTTTTTTTATTTTTTTTTGATACTAATATTTTATTGATATTATTTTTTAAAATTTAAATTGTTGCAACACCTTCCTCCGCATTCCACAATTTTTATTTTATTATATTTTTTATTTTTTGCTATTAAATAAAATAATAATTTTTATTATTAATATTAGAGTTGTTTTATATACTAAGCCAAATTTAGTTTCATCCAATAAATTTTCTCTTCTTTTTTTATTTTATTTGAATTCCCACCGCCAAATATTCTTAAAAGGTTTGATACTTTTTCGCTATCATCTTCAATATCATTATTATAATTATCACCGCTGCTACTGTTTTGTGCGCCACTACTATTACTTGAAAAATTTGATGTTATTAAAGGTTCACACTCTTCGTAACCAAAAGTTTTATAAAATTCTTTTTTGTCGTGTGTAGATAAATATGAGACACAATATTGTTTTCTGTTTGATAAAAAAAAAAAAAAAAAAAAAAAAAAAAAAAAAAAAAATTTAATATTTTTGAAAAAATGGTAATTTGACAAAATATTTATATATACTCTTTAATAATTGAATGAGCCTCATTCATTATCATTTTACCATAACCCTTACCTCTATATATTGGTTTAACTAAAACTAAATTATATTTTTTAAAGTTAGAAACAAATTTTTTTTTTTTTTTTTTTTTTTAATTTTTTATTAAATTAAATTACCATTTTCTATTAAAACAGTTGGCTTTGAATTTTTATCAATATTTAATACTTGAGAAATTGACAAACATCCAACCAATTCATCGGTATTTACTATATTATTGTTTTCATCAGTTATTTCATCGCTCTTAATCATTATTATAAATAATGGTAGTTGATCACTCGATTTTTCGATTGAAACCATTCTTGAATATTCTGATCTTGGCCATTGACTATTCAATAGCTTTGCTAATTCTTCTGAATATTGTTTTTTATTATGTATATAATGAAATTTAATCATTTATTAGTTGCAATGAATATTTTAATTTAAAAACATACAAAAATTTTAAAAAAAATAAAATAAAAATAAAATAAAATTTAAAAAAATTTAAAAATAAAATTTTATAAAAAAAAAATTATTATTTTTTATTATAAAATGAATGTATCATCCAACACATACATATAAATATATTTATTTACCAACTACATAAATTATATAATAATGATATCGAATAAATAAAATGAAAAAAAAAAAAAAAATTAAAAATAAAAACTTTTTATTAAAACTAAAGTTTTTATTTATTTATTTATTTATTTATTTATTATTATAAAAAAACTCGATTATTTATTCAATATTTATGTCTTCATTCAATAGTATTTATATTGGGTTTTTGCTTATTATTTTATTTTCAAATTGTTGTGTATCCAATAATTGTATTTTTACATTCGATAATGCGGAATACGATTTAACAGCCCTGTCAACGTAAGTAAAACAATACATAATAATCAAACTACAAATAATAATAATACACGAAAATACTAATTACCAATACTATAATTAGAGATGGATTTTATAATGCAACATTTAGAAATACAGATATTCAAAATGAAAAAGATTATTTTTATATTATATTTAATGTTTGTGAACATGTTAAATATTGTAGTGATGTGTATGGTTTTCCAAGCTCAACACAGTCGTGCCAAATTATAGATACAGTTAGCAACTATAGTGATGCATTTGAAATAGGATCGTTGGGAAATATAGTCTCATATGAATCAAGTAATGGTTTGGTTTTGGAGTATAGCTCATCAATTGAATATGCAGTGTGTTGGGATGGAACAAGAAACAATAAAAAAATAAACAAACTATCATTTGAATGCGATAAAGAACAAGATTTTATAATAATAAATACCAATACAGTTAGAAAATGTTTATACGAAATTACAATTAATTCAAAATATGCATGTAATAGTCATTCATCAGAACCCGACTCCTCATCAGACTCATCTTCTGATTTTTCACTCTCTTGGCCTGGATCATTTTCAGTACCATCAGAATCTTCTTTTTCATTACCTGGATCATTTTCTATACCATCAGATTCGTCATTTTCATTACCTGGATCATTTTCTATACCTTCAGAATCATCATTATCTTTACCTGGATCATTTTCTATACCTTCAGAGTCGTCTTTTTCATTACCTGGATCTTTTTCTATACCATCAGAATCATCATTATCTTTGCCTGGATCTTTTTCAGTACCATCAGACTCAAGTGGTTCACTCCCTGGATCTTTTTCAGTATCATCAGACTCAAGCGATTCAATACCCGGATCTTTCTCGATACCATCGGAGTCATCCTCAGTTTCTTCAAGCAGCGAAAGCAAAACCTCCACAAGTGAAAGCAGCGATAGTAGCAGTTCGAAAGGTAATAGCAGTTCGAAAAGCAGTAGCTCAAAAGGTAGCAGTGGCAGCTCAAAAAGCACTAGTAGCAGTTCAAAAAGTAGCAGTTCAAAAAGCGCTAGTAGTAGTTCAAAAAGCACCAGTAGCAGTTCAAAAAGCACTAGTAGCAGCTCAAAAAGTAGTGGTTCAAAAAGCACCAGTGGCAGTTCAAAAAGTAGTAGTTCAAAAAGCACCAGTAGCAGTTCAAAAAGTAGCAGTTCAAAAAGCACTAGTAGTAGTTCAAAAAGCAACAGTAGCAGTTCAAAAAGTAGCAGTGGTAGCTCAAGTAGTATTTCAAAAAATAGCAGTGATTCTAAAAGTAGCAACTCAAAAAATAGTAGCTCAAATAGTAGCAATAGTTCTAAAAGTAGTAGCAGCTCAAAAAATAGTAGTAGTTATAAATGGAGTAGTAGCAAAAGTAGTTCAACAAACTCAACTTCGTCACACAACTCCACCTCATCCTCTTCATTAAACTCAAATTCAACTTCGTCACACAACTCCACCTCTTCCTCCTCATTAAATTCAAACTCCACATCCTCATTTAATTCATCTTTGTCTTCCTCCTCATCAACATTCACAAATAATTTTTTGGTTTCATGTTATTATAATGACACAATAATTACAGTTAAAAGTAAAATTAATGACTTCATCAAATGTAAAGGCAATGGATCAATAAAATGTAAAAACTCTGACCTGCTATGCGAAAATAAAGTCAATGACACAAAGGTATCCACTTTTTGTTGGGGTAAACAACAAATTATATGCAGAGGTAAATCCATAACATGCTCAGTAAATGGCAAATTAACATGTTCAAATTCAAACAATTTGGTGGAAATATCATTTAGCGATGACAATGATACTCTTAATAGTAATGGTTGTAAATTAGTTTATAAAATAAAAATAATATTATTTATAGTTTTTATAATAATAATTATAGTAATAAAATTAAGTTAATTTTAAAGAACATTCACTAGTTTTTTTTAAATTTTTTTTTTATTTATTTTTTTTTTTAATATTGGGGTTTTTTTTTTTAGTTTTTTTTTTTAGTTTATAAATAAATGGTAGTTTAATCATCGTGATCCATACCACCGCCCATCTTTGGTGGTTTTGGTCCACCGGCTGGTTTTGACATAATAATTTGATCTACTCTTAAAACGGTATTGGCAGTGTTGGTAGCTAATTTAATGGCGAAAAGTTTGCAAGCAAAAGCATCAAAGACTTCCATTTTGACGGCTGAAGCTGGTTGACCACTTTCGATATCTAAACCAAAATCGGTGTTATTTTTGGTGTGGGCAGCGTAAAGATTTGAGATAGCTTTTGAACCATCATGACCACTAGTTTCGGCAAGAGTTCTTGGGAAAATTTCAAAAGATTCAGCAAATTGACGGATAGAGTATTGTGAAAGACCTGGAGTTGAATCGGCATAAGCTTGAAGAGCACGTGAGACTTCAATTTCGAAGGCACCAGCACCAGCTAAAAATCTACCATCTTTACACATACCTTTGAAAACATTAACACCATCATCGATAGCTCTTTCGATATCATCAAGAATATTATTGGTACTACCACGAACAATAATGGTTGAAATTTCACTTTCTTCACTGTTTTGACGGAAAATACAACATTTGGTTGAGCCAATTTCTTCGACGATAACTTCATCACAATAACCTAACTCTTCTGGGATTGGGGCACCTAATTTAACGAGTGGTGTAGCACCGATAGCTTGACAAACACGACGTAATTGGAATTTAGATTGAATACGGAGTAACATAATTTTAGCTCTTTCAATGTAATGAATAGCCATTTCGGAGACACTTGAACCTGAAATGATAACTTTAACACCAGTGGAAGCAATTTGATTAATAGTTTCTTTAATTGAGTCTTCTTCGCCTTTAGAGAAATTGAGGAGATCTTTTTCATCTTGAATTAAAACTTTACCTGTAGTTTCTGTTTTACCAAGATCAATACCCATGGTGAAAACAGCAACTTTAGCTTTTTCCATTCTCTTAATGGTACCATCAGAGTCCATTGGAATAACAAAACCTTTAACAACGGAGGTATCGCTAACACCACCACCTTGAATTTTAGTAACTCTAACATTATCGACATTGAAATTTACAACTTTTTTTGGTAATACTTGAAGACATGCTTTAGTGATAATTTCTGATAAAAAGTCTTCATAACCATATTGTTTACTGGCAATTGCTGATTTTAAACATTTTGAAACTTCTTTAGCATCATTAATATCTTTGATGGTATATACAACTAATGATTCAATAATTTCTATAAGTTTTTGTGCTGCTTTTTCATAACCAGTAATAATTTCACTTGGATGAAGTCCCATTTCTAAAAGATTTGCTGCTTTTTGTAATAATTCGCCTGCTAATGTAACAACATAATTTGTACCATCACCCATCTAAATAAAATAAAAAATTAATATTAATAAATAAAATAATTATTATTAAATTTATATTTGTTCAAAATTGATTTTGTTTAATAATTTATAAATATATATTTAAACTATATTATTATTTTGTTATTATTATTATTATTATTATTATTGTGTTAAATATAATTTTAATTCCTAGATAATCTTGATTATATTTGAACTTACTTCTTTTTCTTGCATTTGAGCAGCTAAAACTAACATTTTAGCAGCTGGATGAATAACATCTAATTCTTTAATGATGGTTGCAGCATCATTGGTAACAAATAATCTTTCTAAATGATTGATGATCATTTTATTCATACCATTTGGACCTAATGATGTTCTGGTAATTTCTGCAAGTTGTTTGGTGGCATCAATATTTCTTAAGATGGCTTCATCTTTACCTGAAAAGTGCTTGGCACCATCTTTTAACATATCAGTTAAACCTAACATTTTTAATTTCTTTTTAAAATTCTATTAATATTATAATTAAATAATATTAAAATATTGATGTTGTTGTTAGACGAACTGTAAAAAAAAAATTAAAAAAAACAATGGAAAATGAAAAAAAAAATTAAAAAAAAAATTAAAAAAAAATTAAAAAAATTTTTAAAAAAAAAAATATTTTTGAAAAAAAATTTAAAAAAAAAAATATTTTCATTCGCTTTTATTTATTTTAGCTATAAGTTGTATTTATTTGATTGTTTTTATTTTATTTTTAGTTATTTTAAATTTAAAAGATAGACATTCAATTTGATTTTTAACAACACCCACTTTTTTTTATTTTTTTTTTATTTTTTTATTTTTTTATTTTTTATTTGAAATTAATTTTGAATACAATTTTTCTATTTCTAGAAGTTTAATCCTATTTTATTGGCTTTTACATAAATATTCTTTAAAAAAAAAAAAATAATTATTTAATTTTATTTTTATTTTTTATATTTTAATTTTTTTATTTTTAAATTTTAAAAAAAAAAAAAAAAAAAACGAAAATTTTTTTTATTATTCGGTCATTTTTAAATTAAATATTTAAATTAAAAAAAAAAAATGGTATTATATGTTATAGGTTTAGGTTTAGGTGATGAAAAAGATGTTACAATTAAAGGCTACGAAGCAATTAAAAAGAGTAATAAAGTTTATTTAGAAGCCTATACATCTTTATTAGGTGGATCAACATCAACAGAAAGTTTAGAAAAGTTTTACGAAAAGAAAATTATAATTGCAGATAGAGAAATGGTAGAATCAGGATGTGAAGAAATGATCGAAGAATCACGTGAACAAGATATTTCATTTTTAGTTGTTGGTGATCCATTTGGTGCAACTACCCACACAGATTTAGTTATTCGTGCTAAAGAAAAGGGTGTACCAACTAAAGTTATTCATAATGCATCTATTATGAATGCTATTGGCTGCTGTGGTCTTCAACTTTACTCTTATGGTCAAACTATTTCAATGGTTTTCTTCACTGACTCTTACAAACCAGACAGTTTTTATGACCGTGTTAAAATAAATATGCAAAGTGGTATGCACACATTATGTTTATTAGATATCAAAGTTAAAGAACAATCAATCGAAAATATGTTACGTGGAAGAAAAATTTATGAACCACCAAGATTCATGACTGTAAATCAATGTATCGAACAACTTTTAGAAATTGAAGATATCCGTAAAGAGGGTATTTATTCAAAAGATAGTTTTGGTATTGGTTTATCTCGTGTTGGCCAAGACGATCAACAAATCATTTCAGGTACCTTTGAAGAATTAAAAGATGTTGATTTTGGTGAACCACTTCACTCATTCATCATCTGTGGTGATATGCATTTCATCGAAAAAGAATATTTCGAAACTTTTAGAATAAAGAAAAATTAAATAAATAAACAAAATAAATAAAAAAAATACAAAAAATTAAACATCATAAAATATTCGCTTTTATATTTTTATTATTTTTAGCCAGGTGAACCAAATTCCGGAAATCAAAAATGAAAGAAAAGTATTCAAACAATTGATTATTTTATTATTTATTATTTTGAAATTTCAAAACGTGTTTGAAATAGATATATAAAATTAATTAATATAAATATTTATATATTTGTAATATTTTTTCTGGAATAGTAATATTATAATAAAAAATAATTGCTTTTAGAAAAAACAATTATTTTCATTGAAATATGTGTGTCGGAATTAATTCGAAAGAAGGTTCTCATATAAAAACAATATTTTAATTATTTTTTTTTTTATTTTTTTTTATTTTTTTGAAATTTATTAAATGAAAAAGATTTTTTTTTTTCTAAATTAATAAAACAAAAAATGCTATAATAACACTTTAATTTTTTATTTTTTTTTATTTTTTTTTTATTTTATTTTTTTAAAACCATATCTCTTTTTATAAAATAATTTTTTTTTTTTTTTTTATTACAAAACTTTTTTTTTATTCACAAATAATTTAAAAAGAAATAATGGAACAAAAAAGATTACAAGATTCTTTAGAAAGAAAGGCAGATTGGAAATATTGGGGTACATACGTTAGTGACCGTCAATGGGCAACTGTTAGAGAGGATTATAGTTCAGATAATCAAACATGGTCTTATTTCCCACATGGTAATATTTATTTTTTATTTATTTTTAAAATTATTTTAATTTTTTTTAAATATATTTATACTAATTATTATTTTACATTTTAGATCATGCAAGAAGTAGAGCTTATAGATGGTCAGAGGATGCACTTGGTGGTTTTTGTAATAGATTTCAAAATGTTTGTTTAGGTTTAGCTTTTTGGAATGAAAATGACCCAATTATCAAGGTATGTATTTATTTCATATATTTCATATATTACAATCATTAAAATAGTTATAGCTATTTTTACAATAATCAGTTTCTAATCATTCATTATTTCAAAAAAAAAAAAGGAAAGATTATTCGGACTTGGTGGAAATGAGGGAAATCATGGGGAGGATTGCAAAGAGCATTACTTTTATGTTGATAATACACCAACTCACTCTTATTCAAAAATGTTATACAAGTATCCAATGAATGAATATCCTTATAGCAAATTAGTTAGTGTTAATGGTCAACGTTCAAAACAAGAGTCAGAATATGAACTTGAAGACACCGGTATTTTCGACAATAATGAATATTTTGATTGTTTCATAGAGTATGCAAAGGCCGATCAAGAAGATATTTTATGCAGAGTTACCGTTCACAATCGTTCAACTGATAAAGAGGCACCAATTCATGTATTACCACATCTTTGGTTTAGAAATACTTGGTCTTGGGGTTACACTGACCGTCGTCCATATATCCACAAACACACTCATAACCAATTGGTATCAGAAGAGGTTCATATTGGTAAAAGATATTATATTGTACAAACTGATGAGTCAGAGCAACACGCTGATACAAATTCAAAAGAAATTAATTATCTTTTTACAGAAAACGATACAAATACTCAAAAGCTTTTCAATTGGCCAAATGCTAGCCCATATGTCAAAGATGGTATTAATAACGCCGTTGTAAACAAGTGGATGGATTGTGTAAATCATAGCAGTGGTACAAAGGTAGCAGCTCATTGTAAGAAAACTTTAAAGCCAGGTGAGTCATTTACTGTTAAAATTAGATTTGCAAATTACGAGTTTGATGAGAATGAAGCTTTTGCAGATTTTGATCAAGTTTTCAAAGATAGAATTAGAGAAGCCGATGAATTTTATGAAAATATTGTTTATAAAAATAATGACTGTGGTATTGATTTTATGGATAAAGATTTAAAGCTAATTCAAAGACAATCATTGGCAGGTTTGCTTTGGACCAAACAATATTATCACTTTGGGGTTAATATGTGGAAGAATGGTGACCCAGCACATCCAAGAGCTCACCCAGTTCACAGAAATAACCATTGGGATCATTTTTATGCAAATGACGTTGTAAGTATTGTTTTTTTTAATAATTATTAAAAAACAATAATAAATATTAATAAAATATTTTATATATATAATAGATTAGTATGCCAGATAAGTGGGAATTTCCTTTCCTTGCCTCATGGGATTTAGCCTTTCAAATGATACCAATGATGTTGGTCGATATTGAATGGACTAAAAGACAACTAATTTTGGTTACTCGTGAATGGTATACTCATTCCTCCGGTCAATTCCCAGCTTATGAGTTTGATTTTGGTGATGTAAATCCCCCAGTTCATGCCTGGGCTACTCTCGAGGTATACAATCATATTTTAAAAACCACTGGTGTTAAAGATTTAGAATTTTTAGAGCAAATTTTCCATAAGTGTCTTTTAAATTTCACATGGTGGGTTAACAAAAAAGATATCAAAGGTAACAATATCTTTGAGGGTGGTTTCTTGGGTTTAGATAATATTGGTGTTTTCGATCGTTCCTCATCATTGCCAAATGGTGCAAAACTTCAACAGGCCGATGGAACCTCATGGATGGCTTTTTACAGTGCCAATATGTTAAAGATCGCTTTAATTTTAGCCAAAGAGAGAAGAGCCTACGAATCAATTGCAACTAAGTTCTTAGAGCATTTTATTAATATAGCTAAAAGTATTAATTCAAGAAATGGTTTATGGAATAACGATGATGGTTTTTATTTCGATTCAATTGTTTCACCAGGTCAAACCGAATCACATCAAATTAAAGTTTATTCATTTGTTGGTTTAATTCCATTATTTGCAGCAGAGATTTTAGATTATGAAACATTACAGGCACTACCAAAATTCAAAGAGCGTTTAGATTGGTTTGTTAGATATCGTCCAAATCTTGTTAAAAACATTGCCCCATTCACATCACCAGGTCAAAATAAATCAAGATTGCTCTCAATTGTTAATCGTGAAAAATTAGAAATGATTCTCAAGAAAATGTTAGATGAAAATTGGTTCCTTTCTGAAAATGGTATCAGATCATTATCAAAACATCATCTTCACGAACCATACAGAATGGAAGGTACTGATGCATGTGTAACCTATCTCCCAGCTGAGTCCGATAGTGGTATGTTTGGTGGCAATTCAAATTGGCGTGGTACCATTTGGTTAGCAGTAAACTATTTAATGATACAATCATTAAGAACCTATTATCAATACTATGGTGATGAATTACAGATCGAATACCCAACAGGTTCAGAAAATTTTGTTAATTTAGAATTTATTGCAGATGATATTTCAAAACGTTTAATTGGTATCTTTAGAGAAAATAAAGAAACCGGTTCAAGAAAATTCTCTCAAGTTAAACCAATCTTCAAAAATGAACACTGGAAGGATTATTTATTATTTAATGAATATTTCCATGGTGATACCGCTCAAGGATTGGGCGCCTCTCATCAAACTGGTTGGACTGCATTAGTTGGGAAATTAATTAGCGAAATTAAATTTAATAAATCAAATTAAATAATATTATTTAAAAATAAATAATATATTATAAAAACAAAAATTTTAAAAATAAAATACAAGACAGCCAATATTTTCTTTTTTATTTTTTTTTAAATTTAAAGAACACAAATAATTGAAAAAATTAAAAATTTTATAAAAGAATCTATCTTTGTTTTTATTTTTATGGATTATATTAAAAAGTAAATAAAATTATTTTCTTTATATATTTTTTATTTTATTTTATTTTATTTTATTTGGATAATGATGTTAACTATTTTAATTTCATCGATTTTAATATACGAAATATTGAGTGAAACGATTTAATTATTAATTTCATCGCCATCATGATTAATCGAGTTACATGTAGTCAACAGATTCTTCGGAATTAGATATATCGAATGAATAGTTATTATTGATTAAATATTCATCTGGAATATATGCATTGGAATCGGAATCGGAATTGGAATCGTTATCATTATCGTAATAGTTTTTTTTTTCTTTGACATTCTGATTCTAATCATGATTATGTCTATTTTATTTTTATCTATATTATCTATACTGTGTAATATTATATTAAAAGTATTATTATATTTTTATTTTAACTATTGTTATCTATTATTTTTTTTTGATTAGATATTTTTTTTTTTTTTATATTTTTAGTTTTTTATATTTTAAAAATCTACACCTAATAAAACCAAATTCATTAAAAAAAAATTAGTATGGTTTTTATTACAAAAATTTAAAGTAAATAAACTTACCACTTAGTATCTCTTCAACTATTTTCACAAATTAATTGTGATCCATGGATTGGATCATCTGAATTTTAAAAAATCAATTAATTTACCAAACCACTTCTCATTAATGTTGTTTAAACTATAAGAATTATAAAAATGGCATTCAATACAAAGGAATTCTATTTTAAAAATAATTAGTAAGATTTTAATGCAATTTGTAATCTAAAGTAAATAAAACTTACTAATGCCTGAGACCTTAGCACCAGGTACATAACCATTTTGCAAACTAATGGTGATTCAGAAGTTGAGCCAAATGAAATTAAAAACTCGATTATTTGGTCAAACCACCATTCTAATGTAATAAAATAAATAGTTAATATAATATTATCAATCTATAACAATTTTTAAAATTAAACTTACTATTTTTTGAGTTTTGTGGAGTTTTTTGTAATTTTAGAACATTTTGATTTATTATTTGTGGTTTTTCTGGTTGCTGTGGTAGTTGGGATTTTCCAGGTTGCTGTGGTTGTTGAAGTTGTTGTGGTTTTAGATTTTCTTGTTGAACCCTATTATTACATTCTAAAAAATAGTTAGACTATATATCACTATTATTTTAATATTTATTAATAATACTATCTGATACCTACTCTTTTTTTTTAATATATTTTCATATTTTAAAATAGTTTCAAAATCGGTTTCTACTTTTATATCATTTAATATTTTTTCAAAACCAATTATTAAACTATTTAATTTATTTTCATAGAATCTAATTAAAGATCCAGAAAAAAATCTATATAATGTTGATACAATATAAAATCTAAATAGTATAAATGTTAATACCAATATTAGATAAAAATTAATATATTTTTAAAATGAACAACTTACAAAATTGAGAATAATATACATAATAAATAACACCATGAATTCTCAAACATAGTGTTAGATGAAAAAGATTTATAAATTGAAATTAAAATTAAAAAAATTTCAATAATAAAACTAAAGAAAATAAAATTGGAAAAAAAGCTTTTATGGAATTCCTTTGATTTTTCAATTTTGATTTCCCAATTGGGAATTTGGGGTTCCCTTTTTAACCTTTTTTTAAAATTGTTTTTTTGAAAACAAAAAAAAATATAGTTAAATTTTTTTTTTTTAAGGTAAATTATATAAAAAAAAATTTTTTTTGAAAAAAAAAAACCCCTTTTTTTTAATTTTTTTGTTGAAAACAAAAGGGGTAAATTTAAAAAAAAAATTTAATTATATATTTTTTTAATTTTTTTCAAAAAAAAAAATTTGCCCCAAAAGTTTTTTTTAAATAAATTTTAAAAAAAAAAAAAAAAAAAAAAAAAAAAAAAAAAAATATTATAAAAAGCAAAGAAAAAAAGATGGCTGGGTTGGAAAAGATACGAAAAAAATAAGATGATTGAAATGGAGAAAAAAAAATTAAAGCTTGAATGGAAAAAAAAATTAAATGAAAAATAAATTTATTCGAAAGTATTTATACTGAGCTTTAAAATTTATTTAGAGTATGGAATAAAAAATAAAAATTAATATTATAATTATTATAATAATGATCTATAATTATTTCCTATTTTATAAATTGAAAAAAATTGTTTTTACCTTTTTTTGTATAATCACTAAATTTGGGATGATCTTTTCTTTTTTAAGAAAAAAATTAAAAAAAATAAAAAATAATTTTAATTATTTGTTTTTATTAAAGTTGCAACAAAATTTTTTAATTCAAATAAAATTTTAATAAAAAAATTTAATAATTAAAACAAAAAAATAATTTTTTTTTTTTATATTTTTTTTTTTATATTTTTTTTTTTTTTTTTTTTTTTTAATTTATTTTGATTTATTGATTTTTTACTTAATGATTCAGCAGCTTGTGATATCAAGTGATTATGAGTTTTAAAAAGTGATGAAATGAGTTAATCTTTTAATTTATTTTTTATTTATTTGATTATATAATATTATAATATTACTATAAAACATAAAATTATTATTTATATATTTTGTTTTTTTATATGATTATTAATTATTTTCATTTGATTTATTATATTTTTACTTTTTAATTTTTTATTTTTTAAAATTTAATTGGATAATCTGTCAGATATAAAAATAAATGTAATACACGTCTTTTTATTAATTAATATTTCAATACTATCTTCTATTTCATTTTCATCACTAATATCTTCTTCTTCATTTGTATCATTGATAAAATATTTTCAGCAACCCAAATTATATCTTGAAAAATGAGTATCTTCTTCAATTTCTTCATCTTCACTATTACAACCATGTTCTTTTCTACTGAGTTTATTTGTAAATTTAAAGTGTATAATACTAGTTATAAGCATCCTGTTGCTTTTGAAGGCTAATCTTCCAAATACCACTGAAACAACCAAATCTCTTGAGAATACAAAACATTTTCAATAACCATTCTCTTTCTTTTTCTAAAAGAGTTTTCTAGCTTTTCTATTGGTTCAAAATGTGGAATTAATAACTTCTTGTAAAAACAAAGTGTTTTTAAAATCTGCTTGGTGGATAATGTTATATTTTTTTTTTTTTAATTCTTACCATTAGATTTAGTTTTTAATTTGAAATTTAATTTTTTTTTTGTTTTTAAAAAATTAATTTTTACTTTTTTTTTTGTTTTGGAAAAATATAATAAATTTTAATTTGATATTTATATATTGGTATATTAATAATCATCTTCATTATAAATAATTGATAAAATATAATTCTATAAATTTTATAACAATGAAAAGACAACCCTTCTATTTTTAATAATTTTTTATTTTTATTTTTTTATTTTTTTTTTTAATTTTTTTTTAAAAAATTTTTATTTTTTTTTATTATTAAAACTATAATTTTGATATATACAATAATAATGTCAGAAAAATTTAAACACAATAGAAGAAAATTTGAATACCAAGGAAGAACCATTTACGAATGGGAACAATCAATAGAGGAGATCAATATATTTGTTCAACCACCACCAGGTATAACATCGAAAATGATAGCATGCGAAATAACACCAACTAAATTAATCTTGGGTATTAAAGGAAATCCACCATTTATAAACGAACAATTTTATTCAAAAATTAAACAAAATGATAGTTTTTGGACTTTAGAAGATGGGATGATCCATATTACTTTACAGAAAATGAATAAAGGCCGAAACTTGGTTAGCTGCTCTTAAAGGTCATTTAAATCAAAATGAAACTTTATTAAACGAAGAAGATAAAAAGAAAATTATGTTGGAAAGATTTCAAGAAGAGCATTCAGGTTTTGACTTCTCAGGTGCTGAATTTACTGGTAATAATATACCTGATCCAAGAGAATGTTAGTATTTAATTTTTAAAAATCAAATTATTTTATAAATCACGATTTTAACGTTTTTTTTTTTTTTAGTTTTAGGAGGAATGAATAATAAATAAAATAAAAGGAGTTATATAAAAACAATATTAAATAAAATGTAAAATAGTATAAAATATAAGGAATTAAATTATTTAAAAGTTGTTTATTTTTTTTTTATAAAATTTACAAAATAAGAACCACATATACATTTTATATATATAAATTCTTTTGGTAACTAGTCAATGTGGAAAATTGATTGAAGTGTGTATTAAATTGGTTTACCAATCTTTATTTTCTTCATCCTCTCTATTGAAATACCAAAGGAATGCAATAATGGTTGCATAAACAATAACACCACCGCCAATTGAAAAACCTAATGCTTTTGTGCTTATCTACAATGTAATTAATTATTAGTATAGTTTAAAGCTAATGCTATTTATCAAAGTTATATATATATATATAATCTTACAATATCAGAATGAGCAAGAATACATGGTATGGCAAAACCTGAGGCAATTAAAAATCCTGTTAAAAATAAACCAACATCATGAATGACTCTGTTATAAAAAGATAATGTTAGTTTTAAACATTAATAAATCAAAGATTATATCTATATTTACCCATTTTCGCTTGAAAAACTATCATTATTTTTACATATTAAATTGGGAAATGGTGCAAGGAAATATGATGCCACTAATAAAAACAAAATATTAATATTTGACATTTGATAATTGACAGTTTACTTTTATACAAATAACTTACCAACAATAATTGGGTATCCTGAATGTGAAATAATGCATGCTAAAATATTAAATAATAAACCGAGGGCAAATGCGCACGAAAAACCAATAATTCTGGGATAAAAATAATAAAAACTTTAATATTCGTCTAAAAAAAAAAAAAGAGATAATCCAATAAAATTTTGTAAAAAAATAAATAAATCCTTACGCTAAATTGTTATTAAAATGATATGAGTTAGTAAAAAGGTTTAAAATGAATATAAGTTATTTTAATGTGATGGTTACCTTTTATATCATGTGCCATGTTTTATATATATATGTTTTATTAAAGTTTTTATGAAGAGTAGAAAAATAATTATAATAGGTTATAGTTATAATATATTTATAATCAATTAATTATTTATATAATATTAATATGAGTGTGGTTTTTTTTTTTTTATTTCTCTTTATTTTAAAAATTATATTTATTTTTTTAAATTAAAATTTGAAAAAATAAAAAAAAAAATTAAAAAAAAAAATTAAAAAAAAAAAAAAAGAAAAAAAGAAATATATTTTAGGCTAAATTTTTAGGTGTATTTTAAATTTTTAATATTACATTATAAAAAATTTTTTTATTTTTCTATTTTGATTTCTGAATATTTACAATTTTGGTTTAAAGGTTATTTGATTTAAATAAATAAATTTTTTTTTTTTTTTTTTTTTTTGATTATATATACTTGAGTTCCATTTTTTTTTTTTTTAATGTGAGATACCCCCTCTAAAATCTAAATTAAATTGACAGATTTTGGCAGTTTTATCCCAACTTGTAGTTACAAATGATTGATCAAATACCTTTAATGAAGAAATACGATTTGAATGATTATGAAGAGTACGTTTTGATTTACCACCATCAACATCCCAGAGTCTAACAGTACCATCAAAAGATGCAGATAGTACAAAGTTGTTTATAAATTTAGATACACTAACGACTTCATCAGTATGACCTTCCAAGCAGTGATATGATTCTACATAATTTGAGTCCCAAACTTTTAATGTTGAGTCTGATGATGCAGTAAGGAATTTCTTTGGCGCAGTTGTACCATCATTTTCGAGTTTGCCATATATTATAATTGAATTTACACTACCGCTATGACTTTGAAGAGTGCTTATACACTCACCATGATTATCCAACGACCAAACTTTAACACGACCATCGCATGAGCCACTAATAAGTGTATCGGTATTATCTACTTCTATACAATTGATCCAATCTGAATGACCTGATAAAACATTTACTGCAGTCGATGTACGAATATCCCAAATACGAATATTTGTGTCGTTTGAACCACTAATAACACGATATTGATCATTTACTAGTAAGCACGATACTGATTGTGAGTGACCAAATAAAGTTATTTGAGGTTTATGGCTTCTGGTATCCCATACATTAATTGTATTGTCATATGAACCACTAATGAAAATATTTGGATCTTGGTTTGATAAACATGTAATTGAACCTTTGTGACCTCTAAACGATTTAATTTTTTGACCTTTGTGAAGATCCCAAAGCTTTATCATTTTGTCATATGAACCACTAATGAGTTTGTTTGGATCGTGAGTAATTTCACATTGAGATACCCAACCACTATGATCTTCGAGTGTACTAACACATTTTGTTGTTGTTATATCCCAAACTTTAAGGGTAGAATCGGCACTACCAGTAACTAAAAGACTATTTTCACGTTGGGAAACGGCAGAGCAAAGTACACCTTCTTGATGGCCAGCAAATAATTTAACTACATAATCACCACGATTTTCAGAGATCTCTTTAATTGGTACCTTGGTGGCAGATTTGCTTTTGGTTTTATTTTCGTTCCAGCTACTCTTCATATTGATAATTTTATTTAATGATACATGACCTTTTTCATCGAAAAGATTATGGAATATTTCATTGTTGTTCTTATTATGATCCCCACTCTTATGTTTTGAAATTAGTTGATATGAATCTTCTTTATCGTGTTCAGGGTTATTTTTCATAATATGTTTACGATGAATTAAATCATTGCTTTCTTGAATTGGTGTAATACCACCATTATTAATTTGTTCTAATTCTCTAACACGGGTCATATTTGAAACTACTTGGAGCATAGTGTCAGAGTCTAAATTAATGGATGAACACATTCTATTAACAAAACGTCTAACCAAGTCTGGTGATGACCCAAGTGTAATCATTTTGAATGTTTGGTTTGATAACAATGAAAATGCCATATCTTCTTCTGCCCTAATCATTTCTTTCTTAGAATCTTCATTCCTAATAGACCATTCAACCATTTCGTGTAATAGGTTCTTACTTGAGGTTTGTTGACTACTACATCCATAAAGTATTTTACAACGTGATTCGATTGAGTCATAAAATATTTTCTCCCAAAACTTTTGATTTTGCCAAAGACCAATGCTGCCTAATTTTTCGTGTAAATATTCAGTTTGACCTTTAACAATACGATGATATACAAAAACAGCTTCTAATAGCATTTGTGATGATGTAAAATCTAATTGGGTGTTACATTGACGTAAAGTGGTTTCGATGATGGCAGCTAAACAATCAAATACTGGATCGGAGAGTCTAGCTTTTTGAGCATTTATGGTATTATTATTGCTTGTAATAATCAAACTAATTGAAGAAACTGATGAACCTACAAAGTTTTGTTTTTGATGACCTAATAGTAATTTGCCAAAAATAAATCTACCAGAGTCAAATTGAAGTAGCTCGACTATTTGATTAATATCTTCAGCAGGTACCTGATCAGAGAATATTTTGTCCAAAAATCTTTCTATTAAGGTGACAAATGATTTATGTTGATCATCATTAAAAGAAAAAGTTGTAGAGCTATTTATCGATGGGTCACTATTTACAACATACATATCATAGATTGATTTGTATTGGTCATTACTTAAAGTTGAGCTACATGAGGTGTTTGATGATGATAGTGATGGTGGTGAATTTGTGATTGATGGTGCCGAGCTTTGTTGAACAACACCATAAAGCTCTGCTTTTAATGTTGGGAATCTTGAATATTCTCTAAGAGAATTTTGATGACCTTTAATTGAACTAGGGAATGGAACTTGAATGTGTTGCATTGAGCTTTGATCTTGTAAACCTAAGGCTTGTGGAATGGAAGATTGATATAACATTAATAACTCTTCAATACTCTTTTGATATCTCTTTGATTGGATTAAATAGTCAAATAAATTTTTAGTTGGCCATGAGTGTCGCTCTAAAAAGTAAATGAATGCTTGAGTTTTAATAAATGTTGAAAAGAATGGTCTTGAGTTGATAGTTCTAGATTTAATATACTCTTCATTGTTAAAAATAGGAATTGGTTGTGGGAAAACTCTAAGATATTTGTAATATTTTCTATAGTCATGTAAAATATTACAAAAATATTGTAAAAATGAAAATCTAATGTATTGATCTGGACTGTTTGACTGTTGTGGTACTTGCATTGGGTAACAGCTCACACTATTTCTATTGTTATTGGATTGTTGTTGATTACCACTATTAATATTATTGTTGGTGCCATTATTATTTGTTTGATTAATACGTTTTGTTGAATCATTTGACATGGTAATTGAACATAGTGTATTTGGGTTGAAATTTGGTAAATCTGAAGATTGAATTTCAAACTGTACAACTTTTCTTAATTGTGCTATTAGTTGATTAGTTTCTTTTTCCGGTAGTTGAATATTTTTAGTATCGGTTGGTATATTGACAGTGTTATTATCTAAATCGACAATTACCAATTCATTTAATAAATCTTCTTTTGAGAGAATACGATGGGCATATGATTTATGAATACCCATAACAAATGGAAATGGAGTACTACCAGCGATATCAACTAAAGCTTCTGGTAAAACTGGCACATAGATATGAGTATAACATAATGGATAAATTATATTTGAAATAATTTCTGAAATATATGTAAGAATTGTGTATTGACTTGAAACCAAAAGGATCTTTTCTTCTAATAATAAACATTTTAATAAAGATAATACATTCTTTATATCTAAACAAAGAAATAGCATTGTATAAGAAATATCTGGATCTGGTAATAGACATTCATCGGGGATCTTAAGAGTACAGTTTGTAGCACCACCTAAATTAAATGTTACTGGATTCTTTCCTGGTTTTGGTAATGGTACTTCATTTACTAAATTGAAAATATAACGTTCAATAGGTATTGGGGATGAAGAAAAGAAAACCCTATGATAAATTTCATTTAATGCAATTCTAAATGAACTATAAAATGGATAGTGGGATAAAACGCAAATACATTTTTGAATATATAGTTTTGATGGAAAATCACTGTTAACATTTGGGGTTGTTTCATTACTTTGTTGTTGTGGAGGTAATGGTGAGTTTGAGGTTGATGGTGAAATTGGTGACTGTGGTGATGTTACAATGTTTGTATTGGTTGTTGCTGAAGAGGTAGCTAAATTTGGTGTGTTACTGCTAGTAATTGTTGGTGATTGAACTTGATCATTTATATCTTTACTATTGACACTATTTAGTTCAGGGCTATTGATTGATTCTTTTGGTGATACTATATCTTTATTTTCAATTTCTTTATTTTCTTTATTTTCTTCAGTATTTATTTGATTATTGTTATTATTATCTTCTGTTGTATAATTTGCAATAATTTGATTGCTTAGAAGGTCGTTTGTTTCTTTTTGTAAATCATTATAATGTTGATCACTAAGTTGTTCGTAAAAGGTTAAACATGAAGCATAAAATCTTGTTCCGGTTTCATTGGTTAAAACAAATGGAAAGAAAGATGGAGGTTGAATTTCAGTTGATATATTTAAGCCACGTGGGAAACAATACATCCAAATATGTTTTGGTAAAATTTCTTTGACTTCTTTAAGTGGATAAAACTCCATTAGTTCACCTTTATAAGATTTTTCCAATGGTGTTAAAATTTTTGAATTTGTTTGTTCATTTATTTGATCCAATGGCTCTAAAGTTGATGATACACCACAAACAAAGAAATAATCAATAGGTTTATCTGGTACATATTTTCTTTCTCTATCTAATTTCTTTTTCTCTTCTTTTTCTTTTCTTCTGGCTTCTCTACGTTCAGATTCAATCTTCTTATGGGCCTCTTCTTGTTCTAACTGACGTAACTTTTCACGTGCCAATGCCTTTTCTTTTTCGATTCTTTCTAGTTCTTGCTCTTTGGCTAATTGCTCATCAATTAATCTTTGGTGTTGTTCTCTACGTGTTTTTTCTTCTGCCGCTGCGCTACTGCTATTATTTTTTGTATTACTATTATTACTAATATTTGGTGAGGAGTTTGAAACACTTGAAACTTGTGATGATGTACTGATATTACTATTATTATGATTTAATGGTGGTAATGAGGATGATGGATTAGTTGGTGAATGTTGATATCCATTTGCCAATGAACTTAAGTTACCATGGTTACTGGAGCTTGGTGTAATATGGCCATTGCCATCTAATGTATTTTCGTTATTTTGTTTGTTACCTTTATCCATTTTTGACGCAATCTTTTTTGTTAGTTTTAAAATCTGACTACCACCTTTACCTATAAAGGACATTTCTTTAGGATTGACAGATTCCGGCTTAAAATCTTTTGGTGGTGGAAGTATGTTGTTGCCACTTGTATTGGTATTACTATATGTTTCATCATTTGAGGCTGTACTGTTTGTGTCGGTATCAAAATAAATATCTCTGACTTTTACTGTTATTTTTACACGCAGTTCAGATAAATTGATAGCTAGTGAACTTGATGATTTTTCCCTCTCTACCACTGTCCAATTATCAATTGTAAATATTTCTACGCCTGTATCTGAAACTGATGATGATATTGTATCATAATTATTACTACCATTTAATATATTTGATAACCCATTTAAACTACCACTACCTGGTATTGATGGTGATGATGAGATCTGTGCTGTTGTAACTTGTTGTGTTTGTTGGTGAATTGGACTATTTTCATTATTTGTTGGTGTTGTTGAAATTGGGACTTTTGATTCATCATCATAGTTATTTGTATTATTATTATTACTACTATTATTACTATTATTACTATTATTACTATTATCATTTTCTTTACTATTACCATTGTTGTTTTCCTTTTCCCTAGGCGTATTATCTTGCTTTTGATTCTGTTTTGGTTTGTTTGGTGATATTATTGGAACTTTAATTTGCCCAATAACATCAGCACCTAACATATTTTGGCTAATAATTGAAAATATAATTACATCAATTTTATTTGTTGTTGTTCTAAAATGATAAAAAAATAAAATTTTAGTTTATATTTTTGGTTTTAATTTAATTGTCTAGTTTTTAATATTTACACATTAAATTTGTCACTCCATGAAGGATTTTGGGTTTTTTTATGAACTTTGGTTTTAAATTTTTTCCCATCTACCGAAAACTTAATAAATGTATCTTTATCTGTAATATTCTTTGCCTGAAAACCCTCAATGACAAAAGTTGTAAGTCTTGAATAATTGGGATTTAATGGTGGAGATGATACTTGTGGATTTTGCATTTTTCCCTATTTTCTTTTTGTGTATATTTTAAAAAGAAAATATTATTCTTTAATCTGTATCTCTTTCGATTATTATTTGGTGATACAACAATTATTGGGTTATTTTTATCTTTTATTAATGCACTTTGGGGATAAACTGCGCAAAAAAAAAAAAAAAATGATTTTTATAAAAAAATAAAAAGAAAAAATTTAATGAAAATTTTTTTTTTTAAAAATAATTTATATTTGGAATCTGAAAAAAAAAAAAAAAGATAATTAGTATAAATAAATAAAGGTAAAGATAAAAAAAAAAAAAAAAAAAGATGAATAAGTTTTATTAAATTAATGGGTTGATTTAAAAGAAATGGAAAAAAAAATTAAAAAAATAAAAAAAAATTTTATTTTTTATTTTTCCTTTATTAAATGTTATATTTATATATGCTATTTATTAATTATGTTATATCATAACACACACATAACCCAGTTTTTTTTTTTTATTGTTTATTTTTGTGAGAGTTTGTGTTTAAATCTGTCTACTGAGTAAATAAGTAAGTGTGTGTTAGGGTTAATTATTTTTTTATTTTTTATTTTTTATTTTTTTTATCTTTTATTTATTGTGATGCATTAATTTGCATAATTAAACAAAAACTAAAAAAAAAAAAAAGAAAAGAAAATCTTAAGGTGTTTTTTTTGTTATGTGTGTATTGTTATTATATCACTATAATTATTATTCATTGTTAATTATTTATTGTTTATTATTATTTATTATTATGTCCTAAAATTTATTATTTTATTATATTTATTTTATTTTAATTATTTTATTTTATTTTATTTTTGGTAAATAATCTATTTTTAAACTATTCGGATTGTAAGCGCATAATATAAACTATCTCTTAATCATTACTATTGTTATTCATAGGTATGCATTTTTATGTGTATGCATGCGTTTCTATGTAAATGAATTTATTTTAATATGAACTATTTTTTTTATTTTTTCGACTATTTTGAAAATGTTTGTTACCTTTTTATTTTTTTTAAAATATTTGATAATCTAAATTAGTTAACTAAATATAATTTATAATACATATAAATAAAATTACAAATAATTTGTTTTATTACAAAAAAAAAAAAAAAATAAAACAAAAATAAAAAAAATAATTTAAAAAATTTTTAAAAAAATCTTTTTTTTTTTTTATAATTTTTTTTATAATAATTGAGTTTTTACAACGCCGTTGATAGAGTTTCCAAATTCGTGAAAATTTTTTTTTTAAGCAATATCTTTTTTGGTAAATAAATCCAATCTATTTCTTTAAATGAAATATTTTATCTTTAAAATCAAATTATAATTCAAAATTGGAATTATAAATATCCAAAAAGAAATGATTAATTTGAGTTCATTTAAAAGAGACCAATAAGTGTAATTGAATAGTAAATTGAGAATAATTATGATAATTTTTTATTTTATTTTGCTATAGCTCATCTTTAGACATATTTTTGGTTGAAATAATTCAGGGTAATTTGGATATTAAAAAAAAAAAATAAAAAAAAATAAAAAAAAACAAAATATTTTTTTATTTTTTTTTTAATTTTTTATAAATTTTTTTTTAATTTTTTTTTTTTAATAAAGTAATCATTTTCTTAATAATAATTTAAATTATTTAATATTATATTTATATTTATATTTATGCAATAATAATGAAAAAAGGTGTAAAGTATCCATTAAAAGTAGATTCCAACTTATCGACAGTATCATCATCAGTTAACTATCCAGATATAGAATGTCTTGATATTAAAGCAAATGGAAACTATATTGTTAGATTTATGCACAGAGAATGGGTTGGTCCACTAACTGAGTTATCTAACCCCAAAACATCAATTAAAATTTCAATTGATATTAAAGAATGCACAGTAACAGCAACACATACAGATAAAAAGAAAACAGTTCATCGTTGGGGTGGAGAAACCAAAGAAAAAAAAAGTGGTTTAGGTGGAGTTAATAATGACGAAGATAATCCTGTTCAATACGAGACTTTTTCATCAAATTCATTTAATCCAGAAAAATGTAAATTCAGTTATTTTTTATTATATTGGCTTTTATTTATTTATTAACTTGTTTATTTTTTTAGACGTAAATGATTTATTTACACATAAAACAGATTTACAAGCGAATACACATTTAAATTGGTTAGAGGAAAGAAAGACAGGATGTATTGATCATTTAAAAAAGGATGTATATAAAAATCATTTAATATTTATAGGCGCCTCAAAAGAAATTGCAAGTAAATATCAAAAATTAATAATAAATATTTTTTTTCTTTTAATGGTTCTGATATTAACTAATAATTTTTTATTTAGATTCTGAAGTAGATATGTTGGATTTTAGAAACTTGGTCACAGATTATGGCAATAATATATCATCATTACAAAATTTATCAATTAGTTGGGATCATTGTTAGTATAAAATAGTTTATAGTTTCATTTTTTATTGACCACACAGTTTATTAACAAATTATATTGTTTTAATTTAAAATAGATAAAGTTAAAAAAAATAATAAAATCGATTTTGAACCATTATCACCAGCAACCGAGCCTATTCAATGGTTAACAACTGCTCCAAATGAATTAAGTGTTTCGATTGAACAAAGAGAATTTGAAACTGCTGTTAGTTTAGTTGAAAAAAGTAAATATAGCCACATAAGAATAAAGTTAAAATTTTATTAATAGCCACTAATATTTTTTTTTTTTTAAAATTCAGTAAATAAAATTTACGAATCAAACCCAAAAGTAGAAATTGTTATGCAAACCCATCCTTTAAAAGATAGAATTGAGTCAAAAGTAAAGATATTGACAGATAAATTGATGAACGAATTAAGAAGCCCATTATTAAAACCAAACCAAATTAAAGAAACAATATCCCTATTGGTTAGATTATCACAAAATGATAAAGCCAAAACTATATTTTTAGAAAGTAGAAGCCATGCAATCAATTTAGCAGTTAAAAAGATAGCACTCAGTGGAGATTTAAACAGATATATTAGCGAATTAACAAGAGTGGTTTTTAATAATATTAATGCAACATGCAATGATTTTACAAATTCCTTCCCTTCCTATATGAATAGTGGTTTAATTTCTTGGGTAATTGACGAATTGGTTCTAATTTCAGATATATTTAATAGAAAAGTATTTATTTTAGATAGTTTTTATTCAATTTCACAAGTTATTAGAATTGTTGAATCACATTGCGAAATGGTAAGCAATCATTAAACTTACTAAGTTAAAATAAATTTAAAAAAACTTATACTAATATTTTTTTTAAAAAAGATGGATCAAACAGGTTTATCAATTGGATTTTATTGGAATTTATTATTACAGCCTCATATTGAACAATTGATTGTAAATTACGAATTAAAAATTAGAGATAATGTTTTACATCATCTAATGGACGAAAAATGGATTGGTATTACCAACTGGGATTATGAATTAAAAACAAGTCCAACTCCAGGCAATAGCGCACCATCGTCACTTAAAAATAGCGCTGGATCAAGTAATAGTACACCAAAACAAAAGCAACCAAACATGTATCAAAACAACTATGAAAATGAAAATGAAGAAATTGATCATAGCAAACTAAAGCTTACAGAAAGTACTATATTTTTAAATACAATTATTCAAAAGTTTGCAAATGATATTTGTCAAATTATATCAATTGACTTGGTTCCAGTAATCTCACAATCATTGGGTAAAATATTTAGTGCCTATATGAACTATTTACAAAACGAAATTCAAAAAGATAGTTTAACAGATATTCAATGCTTAGCTATTATTAGTGACTCTGTATTTATTGTTGACGATTTAGTATTCAGAATTGCCACACGTTTCGAAGATGCCACTGGAGAAAAACTAAATAATTTAAAACAACTCTCTCAATCACTTTACAACTTATTTGAATCAATTCGTGACCAATACGCCTCAAGAAAAGCAATGGAATTTGTGATGTATACAATCAAATGGAGTGAAAATAACTATAGAGAAGAGTATGACTTGGCCCAAGGTTTTCTTCCAAAAGATTTCATTATACTCTCTGATAGCTTGGATTCCCTATCTCAATCAATTAAATTAAATGTAAACTCAGAATCAATTTTACCAATTGCCTCGCGTATTATTTCAGAAATTGTTGTAATCATCTCCCAAAGATTCCAAACTGATAAAAATGTATTATTCAGCTATAGCGGTTTACAATACTTTGTCCTAGAAATGAAATATTTGACAACTTTTGCCGGCAAATACCCTGTTGAGGACTATACTTTCGAATTAATTAACTCTATGATTCAAACCCATTCAAATAATTTTGCAGAATCAAATAGCTTGGACCCTTCAACTGTATTACAACCTGATGAATTCTTTACAGGAATTATCGATAGTTTAGTTTACCAAAAAGCTGTTTATAATTAATAAAATAAAAAATAGAATTTGTTTAAACTTAAATAATAATAAATTTTATTTATTAAAAAAAAAAAAAATAGTTTTATATTTTTCTTTTTTTTGGATTATTTTTATTTTGTTTTTTAGTTAAAATTTTTTACAGATGGTGAAACACCACTTTCATAAAGCGAAACAATATCAATTTCTTCATCCTCGGCGCTATGATGAGCTTTAGATGGTAATTGGTCAACTGGAGGAAAAAATGGAGAGTTTGATGTTAGGTTTGGTGTATTAAGTGAAATTGGTGTTGCAGGAGTTGAGCCATTATTATGATCGGAGGATGATAACAGGTTCGATGAAGATTGCTTGAGTGTAGTTTGTTCAATTGATTTTTCTAATTCAGCAATTGTTGAGTCATGTTGTGATAAAAGATTTGAGGCTGTTTGTTGGAGTTTTTCAGCAATTGGTAATAAATAAGAGTATCTGTGTTCATTATATTGGAAACAGTTTGAAACCATCAGTTTTATTGCTGCCATAAATTGAGATTTGGATTTATACTCCCATTGACGATTTCTTTCCCTCATGGTAGTAAGATCAATTGGATTTTTAATAATTGTATGATAATCTGGTGCAACTTTGGGTGTGACCTTATATTTGAATGCAAGAAATTCTTCATTTGATCTAAGTTTTTCTAAAATACTTTCAAAAATATTTGATAATTCGACCTCTGCTCCACCACCATCTTTTCTAACTCTATTACGACGTCCTGCTGATGACTCTGGTATAGCGGATAAAGGATCACCATTTGATTGGTCTAATGTTCTTTTCTTTCTATTGGATGATGTCATTGATGATGTAGAATTGGTTGATGAGTTAAGATCTTTTTGATCATCTTTATTGGTTGGAAATTTAATGACAAGACCAACCTGAGTTGGTGATTGATTTGTGCTATGTGAAAGTGGTAAACTTTCATGAGTATTTTCTTTAGGCTCAGTCGAGTTTCTATGATGATCTGGTCTATGATCACGACTACCACCTCTTGATCTATCGCTTCTGTGTGATGAATCTCTATGTTCTCTATGTGATGAATCTCTATGTGATGACTCTCTATCGCTTCTATGCGATGATGATTCTTTATGGTGGTCTCTATCGCTTCTATGACTACTTCCATGCTCTCTGTGATGATCTCTTTCACCTCTATGTTCTCTATCGCTTCTATCACTTCTATGTTCTCTTTCACTTCTGTGTGAATCTCTATCACTTCTATGGGATGAATCTCTATCACTTCTGTGTTCTCTGTCTCTTTCACTTCTATGCGAGGAATCTCTGTGATGATCTCTGTCACCTCTATGACTACTGTTTGTTGGTAAGTTACTATTTTCTTTAACTCTAATTTTTGAACTTGAGCCCATTTCGTTAGATTGACCAGGAATAACAACATTAATTCTTTGTTGACTACTTGGATCTCTGTGGCTATGATGATGGTGATGATGGCTACTACCACTGTTATTATAATCTCTATCCATATTATTACGATTGGGTGGAACTGGTTTATTTGGAACCGGTATATTACCTGCACTGATATTAATCATACTGCTTGATCCTATTGTTGCAATACCACCAGAGCTGGCACTCATATTATTTAATGAGAATGGATCCATGTCTCTTGATTCTGATCTCTTTAATTTTCTAATTTTAGATTCTAACTTTCTTCTTTCCTTCTTTCTCTCCTCATCCTCTTCATTTACTTTACCAAACTTCCTTCTATCTTGATTAAATTGATCTGGTTTCTTCTTTTGATAATCTTCAACAGCCTTTGGATCTCTAATGATTTCAATTCTTCTATATAATGTGCCATCTGGTTTTTGGAATAATGTTGTTCTTTTAACAAAAATTCTATTACCTTGAGTTAAGTCATCCTCATCAGGTTTATTCGTCGATTTTGACACTTCTTTATCTTCTCCATCTTTTGTTGATGAACCTTGTAATTTATTTTGTTCATCTTCTTCATTTTCTTCATCGATATCCTCTTCACCAAACATACTCCTTGAACGTTTACCAGTAACTTTTGAACCATTAGGATTTGATTTTTGTTTATTATTACTTTCTCCACCACTGTCCAATATATCTTCTAAATCTTTTTGCAAATCTTCAAAATCGGGATCTAATTCATCTTCGTAGAGGTCCTCTCCCTTTAATGCTTTCATTTGATTATCAAATACCAATTGACATTGTTCTTTATATTGAAGATGTTGATGATCTAAACTATACTTGGAACCACGAGCAAACTTTGTCATTGCTGCATTACTATCACTAGCTAAAGCTGCCTCACTAGATTTTTTACGAACCAAATCAATTCTTTGCCAACGTGTTAAACTATTAATTTTTTCTTCTGAAACACCTAATTCTAAAAGTACAGTTTTTGAAGCAGATAATGAAAGCTTTCTTAAATCTGCATCGGTACCAGTTACCTGGTTCTTTTGTAATGCTAGCTTGATAGCCTTTTGCTTTTGATTAACAACTTTTTGAGGCATTTTTAAATAACAAAATTCATCTTCTCTAGCTGTAGGATCTTCGCTAATAATTTGCATTCTTCCTTTACCTTGCATTGCTGCTTGGAAACTACCTGTTAAATTCCATGGAGTAATTGAGAGTTCATCTTCAACTGGTTTATAAGATTTCTTAATTGGATCATCTTCATCCAAGCCACCTAAAATTGTTGGAATAGTACCTTGTGCAGTAAAATGAATGATACCATTATCTTGGAGTCTTTGAAGACCTATCAACATTGATTCATAGGCGCAAACCACCTCTGGTGTAACAAGTTTTTGAAGCTCTTCTTCGGTGGGTAATGGGAAATTATCTTTGACAGTCCACCAACCACTATCATCACCACCACGTTGAAAATCGGCACAATCTTTTAATCTCTTTCTAATCGAGGTTTCGGATTGGGATGGAAAAGATGAACAAATATCTGTTATTTTAAGACGACGTTGACTGTTACTTTTTTTCAAGAATAAACGATAGATATAGGCTTGAAGTCTACTCTTTAAAAACATATTGGCACTTCTTGAATTTGGGGCTGGTACTTCAATTTCTGGGAGCATTTGACCTGCTGAATAAACTGGACCTAAATCACGAATATACCAACGTTTACCATCACGAGATCTAACCAAAAGAAAATCTGTATTGCTCGAATTATGTTTATAGACTGGTGATTTGTAAAGATTATTAACTACTGCTTGAACTGCTTGGCCTGGGTATATATCACCCAAAAATGGTGAGTCATCATTACTATCGATAACAACAAGCTCTCCATCTTCAAACTCAACATCTTTTGCACTGTCATGGTTTGATTTCTTTCTATAATAATTTCTAATTTTCATACCCATACCAACATTTGATAGTAATGGTGGATTTTGCTCAGTATATTCGACAAGTACAACACGACCATCACGGCCTGATAAATCTGATTTATGTAAAGATTTTTTACTTGAAAGAGATGAGGATGATGAACCTGAAAAACTATCAAACCCTCCACCAGTTCTTAAACCATTTACGCTACCATTTAAATTTGATGTGCTGCTATTTAATTGTTCATTTGATGTAATCGCACCCTCTTTATTATAAAGTGCAATTTTGAATAATACATTGGATGGGAATAAAAGACGTGGACGATGGGCATATATGAGATCCTCCTTGGTTAAATGAGTCTTTACTAATGAAAGCTTAATACCTGGTAATGAATGTTGAATTGTGGCTTTACCTGCATTTTGTTGTACAGCATTACTCTTCTTAACTGGTTTATAAAACTTATCATTTGAAAGATTAAACTTGTCTATTTCCCTTTGACTTTGTTCCCTCTCTTCACGCTCACGTCTTTCTTCTTCTTCTTTTTCTTTTTGGAGCTGCTCTTCGAAGGTCATTTCTGTTAAACCATTGGCTGCTGCTGCTGCTGCTTGTGCACGTGCCAATGCTGCTGCTGCTGCTGCCTGTTGAGCTTCTAATAATAAACGCTTTTTTGATTTCTTTTTAGTTGGAGCCTGTTCTTCCTGTGCACGCGAAGAGTCACTCTTTTCCATGTGCTCTTCAAAGTACATTTCTCTATCATTTAAGTCTAAAACTAATTTAGCAACAACTGGCAACTTTTCACTAACCATTGACTCGTCCCATATGATGTTTTCTACCCATTCGCCACTTTCTAATTCTTCATTGGAGATTGGAAATAATGACCATTTATCAATTTTTGTTTTTAATATATCCATATCATCTAGTGTACTATTATTTGTTATATTATGAATTTCTTGTTGTTCGTTATTATTTGGTAATTCTGTTATTGAATTTTCGTTTGATTTTTGTTGCTGCTTTTGTTTATTTTGTTTATTTTGAAGGTGTTGCTGTTTTTGCTGTTGTTGCTGTTTCTTTGATCTTACATTATTATTATTCATTTTATTACTATCTAAACTAAAAATATTTAATTGTTTTATCTTTTTAATACTATTTTCATCCCAAATGATATTTTCCTCCCAGTCTACTTGTTGAAGAGAATGATAATGTTCATCGGGTGTATATAAAAGCAAGTTCAGTATTTCTTGATTTTCAGTTTCTTGTAATGGCTCTGGTACATATTCATCATCTTCATCGGCATTAAATAGTGACATTGATGTTAATGTTGGTGTTGTTGTTGTTGATGATGCTAACTCCTCTTCACCACTACCTGTCATATTGGGTCTTAATAATTTTTTAGTTGCGCTATCAATTTCAACAGTCTGTTTCTTTAATGATGTTGATGGTTGTTTTTTTGATGGTTGGTTCCATATTTGAACCTCATCAGTTTCAATTGAATCTTCTTTAACTTGTTGTGGTAATAATACTAAATTAAAAAAAATTTAAAGTTAATATCTATTTATTTTATTTTTAAAATAATAATTGTTATCAGCTACTTACTTCTAACTCTACGCGATTTCTTTTTTGTTTGTTTATCTGGAAATTTTGGTGCAAATAATTGTGAAAATTTTAAAATTAAGGAACCACCGCTTTTACCACTAACAAAAGTTTTGAATTCTGGATCTTCGGGCGTGAATACATTGGGTCTTTCTAATAAACACTTTACAACTTCATAAGAACCAGACTTCATTGTTACCTTTTTATCTCTTTCATCAGATGATTCGGACGACGAATAATCATCACTTTCCATAGATGATGATTCAGATGATGAAACATCACTTTCCTCTTCCTCATCAAAGTCGAAATCGTCTATAATCTTTTTCTTTTTTTCCTTCTTTTCTTTTTTTACATGCTTTTGATGTCTTTCCTGTTTTCTCTTTTCTAACTCTTGTTGTTGCAATAGCTTCAATTTTTCTTCATCCTCACGTTGCTTTTGTTGCTGCTGAATTCTCTGCAATGCAGCTTTCGCTAATGTATCTGCATTCAATTTATTTATTTCATTTTCTGCTGTCTGAATCTCATCAATCATTTCGTCTTCGTCTTCGAAATCCTTTGCATTTTTATCTGGTATAATTATTTGATCACCAACCGTTTTATCTTCTTCATCAATACCCAATGTTTTTTTAAATGAAATATGTTGGCTACTTTTTGCAAATAATTCTAAATCTTTTTTTAAATCCTATGGAATGAGAAAGAAGAATTAATATTTTTGAAAAATCAATAAAAATATCTAAATTGTACATACTTTAAATACTTGATCATTATCTTCAACATCTAATTCACCAGATTCCTTAACATTACCAAATAAGAAACCTGTTAAATTTCCTTTATCTTTATCCTTTGCCATTTTTATTTGATGTGATTCTATTATTGATGACTATTGATAACAGTGATATTGGTGTATGTGAAATAAAAGAGAGTTTATTTAATGAATAAATAGTGGATTTAATAAATAAATAAATAAATAAATAAATAAATGATTTAACTAATTACACAAAATATACAATAACAACTATTTATTTAAACTACTATTATTTCCCTCTCTTTTATTATTTTATTTTATTTTACTTTATTTTATTTTATTTTATTATTGATTTAATAATAAATATAGATTTTTTTAATAAAACACTATATTTTATTATTAATGTATATAAATATACAAATTGATAACTACTAATTGTCGTTGTAGTAGTTTGAAACACGAATTTTATTTAATTAATTAAAATGAAAAAAAATTAAAAGAAATATAAAAAAAAAAATTAAAAATTTAAAATAAAAAAAATTTAAAAAAAATTAAAAAAAAAATTAAAAAAAATAAAAATATTAAAAAATTTTTTTTGTTGTTTGTGAGTTTCGAACCCTTGGATAGTAAAATTGGAGGGATAAAAACACATAAAAAAACTTGTATCAAAAAAAAAAAAATAATAAAGAAAAAAATTTTCCTTAAATACTTTTTTTGATCACCCCATATAAAATTTTTATATAGGAAAAACAATATTATTTTATTTCTCTTCAAATAAAAATTTTTTTTTATTTTTTTTTATATCATTTACCACAAATAAATATTTATTTGTGAATTATTCAAATGTTATTATAACTATAAAAATATAGGAAATGAATAACTTTTTTTAAAAAACTTTATTTTCAAAATTATAAAAGGAATAAAAAAGAAAAAAAATTAAAAAAAAAAAAAAAAAATTTAAAAAAAAAAAAAAAAAAAAAAAAAATTGTGAAAATTTTAAAATTTTTTTTCATTTTTTTATTATTTTTTTTAATAACTAGTTACGCTGAATTCAATATATTTTTGTAAATATATAAATAAATAAAAATAAAACTAAATTAATAAATATAGATATATTGTTAATTCAGCCAAATCGATAATCGAATAAAAAAATAAATATTATAGATAAATAAAATATAAATATATAAATTAAAAAATAAATATAAATAAAAATAAATAAAAATGTCATTATCAGTAACACAGCTAACTAGACAACCAGAATTAGATATTTTAGAAATTAAAAATGAAAGTATAGTTTTTACACTCTCAAATACAGATATCAGTGTTGCCAATGCACTTAGAAGAGTTATGATTGCAGAGGTACCAACAATGAGTATCGATTTAGTAGAATTTGAAGCAAATAACTCGGTACTTTGCGACGAATTTATAGCACACAGATTAGGTCTTATACCATTGGTTAGTGATAATGTCGATAAATTTAATTATACAAGAGTAAGCAAATATTACATATGGTTTCGGAGTCGAATCAAAAGGAATCAATAGCAAACACAACAACAACAACAGCAACAATACATTTCATAATATTAACAATTATTAATTATTTTTTTAGGATTGCAGTTGTTCAGAAAGATGTGATCAATGTAGTGTTGAGTTCAAATTAAATGTTAAATGTTCAAATCAAAGACCAATTGATGTCACCAGTTCAGATCTTATTGTAGTTTCAAATAATAATAATAGTGTAATTCCAGTAAGTTCACAAACAACAGAAAGAACCGATGAAATTCCAATTGTAAAATTAAGACAAGGTCAAGAATTAAGATTAAGAGCAATTGCAAAAAAAGGTGTTGGTAAAGAACATGCAAAATGGTCACCATCCTGTATTGCAACCTATCAATTCCAACCAATTGTCACTATAAATCAAAATAGAATGGATGAACTCAGCGATAAACAAAAAGAAGAATGGGTTGGCAGTTGTCCAACTAAAGTTTTTGGATATAGTCCACACAATCAAAGTCAACCTGTTTCCGTTGATGAACCAATGCGTTGCATGTATTGTTTAGAATGTAAAAAGAAAGCTGAAGCTTTTGGCAAACCCGATTTAATTAGTATAGAACAAAAACAAGATAAATTTATTTTCACTGTTGAAGTAAGTATTAATAATTCATGAATATTTTATAATAACATATTTTATGTAAAACAATAATAACAGCAATAATAATAATAATATAAAACAGTAATAGTTAATTGTTTCAGATTTTTTTTAATATTATAATTTAAATTTAAATTTTCATTCTAATTTTTATTTTTATTTTTATTTTTATAATTTAAAGAGTTCAGGTTCTTTAAAACCAGAAGATATTGTTTTATCTGCAATTCAAATTATTAAAGCAAAATTAAATAGTATTCAAACTCAATTATCCGAAGGTATGATCTAAAAAATTTCATCAAAAAATAAAAAAACAATAAAAAAATAAAATCAAGCCGCTTGGTTTAACTCTTATCTAAATTTATTTAAATTACAATTTTTTTAAAAAAAAAAAAAAAAAAAAAATAGACAACTAATAAATATTTATTAAATTGCAAATAACAATAAATCTCTTATATTTTATGGGGGGTTATTAGTTGTTATTTTTATTTAATTTAAATTTTTTATTTTTTATTTCTTAAATTATTTTTATTTTATTTTTTATTTTTTTCTAACATAAAATAACAAATTATTTTATTTAATTTATATATAATATTTCACTTTTATTCTTTTTGGTTAAAAAAAAAAAAAAGTTAAAGAATCGTTAGAACACATTATATAATATTTTTTTTTATATTTTTTTTAATTTTTTTTTTTTTAATTTTTTTCTTTTTTTTTTTAATTAAATTTCACTCGACCACAACAAAGTTTTTTTTTTTTTTTTTTTTTTTATAATTGTTTTTAAAAAAGTTATATAAACAATACTTCACAACAACTAAGGCAAATTCATATCCCATATAAATTTAATAAAATATTAAAAATCAAAATGAAAAGAGAATTAAATATTGCAATCAGTAAGTAATCTATATTTATAACCATTAAAATACAAATGATTTATCTTATTTTGTTTTATTTTGTTTAATTTAATTTTTTTATTTTATAAAAATACCCCACCATTGTTTAAATAATTTTAAAATAACAATGTTCAGTATTTTAAAAAATCAAAGAAATCAAAGAAATCAAAGAAATCAAAGAAATAAACTTTTTCAAATATTTGATTACCAATACTACCACCATTGTGATTTTTTTTTTTCAATTGAAAAAATCAAAAAAAAAAAAAAAAATATCTTTTTTTTTTTTTTTTTTTTTTTTTTTCTTTTTTTTTTTTTTTTTTTTTTCTCCTCTCTTCCTCAAACAATTGTTTTTTTCTTCTGTTTATCAATTATCAATTGCTAATTTTTTTTTTTTTTATAAAAATATAAAGTTGTTACTGACGAGGAATTAGAAGCTAAAAATTTTAAAGAATTTTTTGGATTATATGACAATTTTATTAAGAGATATGGATTAGTTGATCATATTAAAACTACTAGATTTAGCGCAGTTCAAAAGGAGTGGCCAGCAAATCCATTAGAATATGACGGATATGTAATTACTGGAAGTAAAGCATCAGCATACGATAAGGATGAGTGGATTACAGTTTTAAAAGAAAGAGTTGTTCATTTAGATCAAAATGAAGTTAAAATTTGTGGTATTTGCTTTGGTCATCAAATCATTGCTGAGGCATTAGGCGGTAAAGTTGAAAAGAATGAAAAAGGTTGGGAACTCGGCCAACACAGCATTCAAGTCGAAGAAAGCGTTATTCAAATCTTTTCAAAAATTTTAAATACAAATGATACTACAAAATCAGTTGCAGTTGCCGATGTAGTAATTGATGAAAATAATATTAATGACAGTAATGAAGTTGCAACCAGTGATAATAGTGCTTGTTCAACACAGGCTAAAAAAGATAAAGATTTTATTAGTATTTTACAAATTCACCAAGATCATGTCTCTGTAATCCCAGAAGGTATGATCTCAATCGGTTCAACACCAAAATCTCCAGTCCAAGGTATGTTAAAAGAATCAAAAAACAAACCAGGCTCATATCATATTATTTCATTCCAAGGTCATCCAGAGGTAACTATTCGATAACAAAATTATAAATATAAATATTATATAAATTATTAATTTTAAATTTTTCTCTTTTAGTTTGATCGTAGTTATATTTCTTTATTAATTAATGATCTTCATGAAGTCGATACTGATTTTAGAAATGAAGCATTAAAATCATTACAGGAATCATCATGCCAACCTTGGTTATCAGAATTAGTATATGGTTTTTTCAATAATTAATATAATTATAATATAATATAAATAAAATAATATAATAAAAATATAATGTAATAGTATATTATAAAATATAATAAAATAATATAATATAATATTGTATTTTAAAAAAAAAAGAAATAGAAATATATAAATAAAAAACTAAAAAAATATTTATTAAAAAAAAAAAGTTATTTAAATTCTGTATTTATTTATTACAATTTATTTTAAATAGTTTTCTATCATTTGAATTATTTTAAGGTTATATATAAGTTGTGGTAGGTCACTATATTGAAATTCTAACATGTCATATTTGAATTTTAAATTGTTTAAATTATTGTTATTGTCCTTTTTATTAAATGTATAGTTTTTATCGTCTTCATTGTCCTCATTTTCTTCATTGAATATATTTTCGTCTTCTTTATCCTCTTCGTTGTCATCTTCAAAGAATTTTGCTTTCTTTTTATCCTTTTTTGATGATTTGTTCTTTTTTCTTTTTTTCTTTACATCTTTACCATTTTCATCACTATCGCTTGAGTATATATATTTTTCATCATCACTATTGATAAATTTCTCTTCTTTTTTCTTTTCAGAATTTGTGGCACTTTCAGATGGTTTTTCTTCTTTTGATATAATAGTTATTGGTAATTGATTTTTTATAAAATAGTTTTTTAATAAATCTATTGATGAGGGGTTGTTGGTATCATTATTATCTATATTATTATCTATATTATTATTGTTATTAGTACTATTATTATTTAAAGATGATTTATTATTTTCATTTAATAATTTTAAAAATTGATTTTTTAGTGTATAAAAATAAATAAAACCTTCAATTAAAATAAATTTAATTAGTTCGGTTTTATCATCATTCTCTGCTTCGATTAAAATATCTTGTGCTAGTAAGGTATATGCGGTGTTGCTCGTTTCTAAATCTGTATTATAGTTTAACGGAATATATTTTTTTAAACGTTTTTCTAATATTGTTTTAAATTCTATATTTTTTGAAATTTGGTTCATTAGTTTGTTTATATTGCTTGGTGATAACGAATTGAATATCATTGCAACTTTGACAGATTTCCAGTTGCAGCTGAATAGGACAACATCATTTAATAAATTAATAATATTGATATCGTTTGGTTTATTTGGCTGGTTTGTGTTTGGCTTCAAGTTATTAAAATTTCGGAATTGTTTTGAAATATAATTATCTATCATTAATTTTGAGGACAGCAATAGTACATCATCATCTGGGTGCTTTAAAGAGTTGTTCAAGGTGATTACTATATCTATTGGATTGATGAGGTTTGAAATTCTTGCGATTAAATTATCAATACAATTTATTAAATGCTTCATATGAATATGATTGACTTCGTTATTATTATTTATTATACCTATAATGATTTTGATTAGTTTATCAATAATGTAATCTTGGTCTACTTGAAAAAATTCGTTTGGGTTTGATTGTACTGATTCATTAAATTGGTTCGAGTTAAAAAATGAGGGCTGCTTATCTATTATTGATTGAACGGTTTTCACCACATTTAGTTGCTTTAAAAGTTCTTTCTTTTGAATTATGACACACGGAGCATGATCTATATCACCATTCCATTGCAATAAATCCCAACAACTATCTCTTTTTGCTAGTATATACTTTTCTAATGCTAGGGACCCATATTTATTCGAAATGGTTTCGCTTATTGGTGTATTTTCCGAATGAATTGACGATGATGCTTTGCCACTACCAACTCCAAAGTTATCAAACCAACTTGTTATTCTATTTTTATCACTTTCAAAAAACTCTATGAACCACTTTGAAATATCAATGTTTTGCATTAGTTTCTTAAAACTTTCCTCATCTATTGGACTTTTGACCTTTTGAGTGGGAGTCTTATTACTATTATTACTGTTTTTACTATAGCTATCATCAAAAATGGTTTTGTTATTGCTTTCTAATATAATTGATGATTTTAAAACTTCCATAAATACTTTAAATAAATCTTTTTCTGTTTCGCTATTTGAGGTGATTAATTTAAAAAATGATTTTAAAAATAATGTATCCTTTGATTTATTCCAAAAAATAACACATAATTTTTGGGTAAAGAGATTTATATTGAAAAGATGATTATCAAGCTTCTTGCTTACATGATTATCTTTTTCTGTATTACAATTGTTTGCTAATGTGTTATTGTGTATATTGGTTTTGCTGCTGTTTAATGATGAAAAAAACGATAGTTTAGTTTCATTGCTGTATTCTTTAATTAATAGTTTTCTTAATTGTTTTTCAATTTTATTATGAAGTTTATATCTCTGTTGAATTAATTTAATATTATTATCATCATTTATATCGTCATCATAATAATAGTTATTAGAGTTGATTTTATTTGTGTTTGTAGAGTTATTGGTACTGATATTATCATTATTATTATTATTATTGATAGAAAGAATGGGTAATGAATAAATTAACATTTTATTATTAAAATATAAAAAAATAATATAATACAATTTTTTTTAAATTAAAAAAATAAATAAAAAAAAAAATTTTAAAAAAATTCTAAAAATTAAAAAATAATGTGTTTGTGTGTGTAAAATTTTAAATAAATTAAATAAATATTTTAAAACAAATAAACAGTTATTTTTCAAAAAATGATGAAATAATATGAAAAAAAAAAATTTTAGACAAAATTTTAATGATAGTTTTAATTTATTTTTTATTTATTTTATATTATAATATAAAATACTATCTTTCCCTTTTTATTTTTTTTTTTTTTTTGATATATTAAAAAAGATTGATATTAAAAATAAGTGTCTTATTTGGGTGAAAAAAGATTGAAAATTAAATTACTATAATTTATTTATTAACATTTTTTTATTATTTTAACTTTTTATGTGATTAATATAAATAATAATTATTTAGATTAATCATCATTTAAAAGTTTTTTAATGTTGTTTTCTTTTTTAAATTTTTCTTCTTTTTTTCTTTGTTTTGAGTTGTGTAATCCACAAGCATTACACATATCAACTTTGGTTTTGACTCCATCTATTTCAACCCATCCTTTCCTCCATTCTGGAGTATGTTGGATTCTGCAAATGAAGCAGCTATCTGGTTTTGGTCCCTTTGGTCTGCCTTTCTTTCTTTTAACGACTTTTTCAACTTCTTCTTCTTCCTCTTCTTCTTCCTCTTCCTCTTCAACTAAAATCAATTCTTCGTCACTATCACCATAAATATCACCATTATAGTCTATATCACTATCATCGCTTTCAATATCTAGATCATCCATTCTAAGGTTTGGAGATAGTGTGCTTGAAGGGGATCTTGCACTGGTTCTAGATGATGTTGATGCTGGTGATGTTGTTGAAACTGGTGAGTTTGGTGTTAATGAAGAAGTTGTTGTTGAGGTGGTGGTAGTAGTGGTGGTAGTAGTGGTAGTATTTTTTGGTGACTTGGTTTGGTTATTTTTAAAAATAAAAATTAGTTAGTAAAATGTAACTAAATATTAAAAAAGTATTTAAATTAAAAAAAACATTACAACAACCATTGCAAATATGTAAATTTTATTAACAGTAAGTTTGTAATCAATATTCCAGTTAATAAATTAATGAAGCACTCTTTAAAAAATATAATGTGTAAATTTATATTGTGTTTTATAGTGTTTATATATTATTTTTTTGTTTTTTATTTTTTTTAAGTAATGTTTTTTACTTAATTTGTTTATATATATGTACACAAATTTACTAACAACAATTTGTTTATGATTTATACTATTCTATCTTTATTTTATATGATTAAAAATAATTAGGTCTATAAATTTAAATAAAAAAAAATAAAAAAATTTGTAAAAAAAATTTTTTTTTAAAAAAAAAATAAACAAAATTTTATTTTTAACGGATTTCAATAGGTGATTTTATAATTACCAACATAAAAAATTGTTTTTTATAAGTTTATATTATGACTATAAAAAATTAAAAAAAAAAAAAAAATTATATATATTTTTATTATTTTTTATTTTTTACTATTACAACAAAAAATTATTATAATGATACAAAGTTTTATTTTGGGTGTATTTAATAAAAAAATGATTATTACTGATTAATGTTTGTGATAATAACAAGGGTGAGAAAAATGAAAAAAAGTTATTCATTTATTTAAATTATCCAATAAATTATCTCTAGGATTGTTTATTGGGATTTGTTTATATTTTAAATTATATAAACATAGTTATTTTTTACAACGTTTTTTACATAGTTTTGTTGTTTTGGTTATTTTTTATAGTTATATGTTAATAATAATGCTATGCGCAAGATAAATAAATAATGATTGTTTTTATTGTTACTTTTATTATTATTATTTTTGAGAGTGAAAATTTTGAAGGAAATATTTATCCTGTTAGCATGATTTTAATAATAAGTACAGCAATTATAAATATTAACGATTTTACTAAATTTTTTATTATTTTTATTATTAACAATCAATGATTATAATTATTTTAAATTAAAATATTCACTATTATCACTATGATTATTTGGTCATTGTAATTATTTTGTTATAAAAACATTTTTATTTTACTATTTTGGTAGTAGGGTGGTGATGGTTAACAAAGTATATAATATAATATAATATGTATTAATAATATTTTATTTTTTATTTTTATTATTTTATTTTTAATTCTATTGATTTTGTTTATATTATTTTTTTATTGAAATTGGTTATAATATTAACTATATTCATATTAACATCAATACTAATAATAATAATATCAATATTAATTAAATTAATATTGTTATTGTTATTATTATTGTTATTGTTATTGTTATTGTTATTATTATTGTTATTTTTTTGTTATTGTTATTGTTTTTGTTAGTGTTATTGTAATAGTTATTTTTATTGTTAATGTGATATTGATATTGATATTGATATTGATATTGATATTGATATTGATATTTTTTTTATTATTTTAGATATTGGTATTGATTATGGTGTTGTGGTTGATAATTTTCGTTATAATAATAATTATTATTTTATTTATTTATATATAGTTGTAAATAATATCAATTTTGATAGTTTTACATTTGAATATAAAATAATACATAAAAACAAACAAATTAAATTACTCATTTATTATTATTATTATTATTATTATTATTATTATTATTAAGTATACGAAAAATAAAAGGTGATAGTTTTACGAGGAGGTAGTTTTTTATTAGGGTATTAGAATTTTTAATTTTTTATAAAACAGTTTTAAAAATTATTTTTATAAGTGGATTATAGATTTGGGGTGGGCTATAAATTTTCATAAGTGTAGTAAATTTTTGGAAGGGTTTTGATACCCAAGTTATAATTAATTTTCAACAAAATAAAAGTTGGAAAAACAATTTATTATAAAATAAACAAATAAATACCAAAAAATTATTATTAAAATAAAAATAAAAAATAAAATAATT